AGAAGATACTTTCGCTGTAAAAGTTAGTATTTTTTAACATCTTATGAATTATTAACTTATTTATCAGATATATAGAAGAGACTGATATATAAAAAACTGATCAAGTTATGTAAATTAAGAAATAAAATGAAATAAATTTGTACTGTAATACACTGTTTTGAGAATGTAAATAATTAAGTTATGTTTGCAGTTTTACCTCATTAACAAAATTAATTAGTTTTATTAATAAATTAAATAATTTATAGATGAATATGAAAGAAAAAGTAGCAATCAGTCTTCTAATGGAGAGTACAGCCAACACCAGTACAAGTACAGAGGACTCAAGTACCAATGATATAGACTGGAACAATACTAGTCTTTCAGCCAGTAATATATCTTCAAGCAGTGAAGAAAACGATAATTATTTATTGATATTTCCTCTAATGAAATATTTATTGAGTGGACATAAGAGAAATCGAGTTGAACATTATCTTAATATTGTGGATAGCTGGACAGACTTGGAATTTAAGGAGCACTTACGAATCCAGCGTATCACAGCAATTCGATTAATAGGTAATGTTCAGCATTTTGAAAAATGATATAATATTTGTGTCTGACCATTTTATAATTATTTTATAATTTTTGAAACCTATAGTTCTTTACATATTCTAAATGAATTGCATGAAAGTGGATCTATACCTTCACATTCGTTTGGAGTGAAACCAATTGTAGCAAAACTCAGTTTTGTTATATTTTTGTGGCACTTGGCGAATACAGAACCTCTACGAACTATCTCAGATAGATTTGATGTTTCAATTTCTTCAGTCTTTCGTGTAATTCGCCGAGTAACAGCTTGGATCTTGACAAAATTAGATAATGTTATCAAATGGCCCGAAGGACAACATGTCGCATATGTTTCTCATCAGTTTTATTCCAAAAGAGGCATTCCAAATGTAATAGGAGCTATTGACTGCACTCACATTAGGATAGAAAAACCTAATGTAGAAAATGCAAGAGACTATTGTAACCGGAAAAAATACTTCTCTGTAAACCTACAAGCAGTCGTAGATGCGGATATGAAATTTACTAACATATACTGTGGTCAGCCCGGTTCTCTCCATGATGCAAGAGTTTTGAGAAAATCTGAATTGTACAATTCAGCTAATGAACATAGAGAAATTATGTTTCCAGATAACAAATTTATAATCGGAGATTCTGCATATCCATCATTACAGTGGCTTGTTCCTCCTTTCCGTGATAATGGTCATCTTACTCCTTTTCAGACCGAATTTAATTTCATACATTCTTCAACGCGTATGGTTGTAGAAAGAGCATTTGGGTATTTGAAAGGACGTTTCCGACGAATTAAATTTTTTTCGGAATATCGCGATATGCCATTCATTGCAAATACTATTGTAGCTGCATGTATCTTACACAATTTATGTATAAATTGTAATGATGACAATTTTAATTACGATAATGTTGAAATTGAGGAACCGAATGATAATATTAATGTAAATGACGATCATAACGAAAATAATTGCCGATTTCAAGAAGATCGAAGGATGCAATTATTCATGGAAATATTTGGCCAGGAATAAACAATGTATTGTTATGTATAAGTTGTAAATAAAAGTATTTAGCCATAACAGCTTGAATATGAACATCATATTTTATTATAAAAGTATCACAAATGTATGCTGTCATCCAATAGCATGAACATTTCTTATAAATTAACACAAATAGTGAATATTACAATTATTTAATCACATAATAATTGCAAAACGTAGGAACAAAATTATAATTATTTAATCACATAATAATTGCAAAACGTAGGAACAAAAAATAATAGAACAAGTTTGAAATATTGATAATTAACCTGATGACTATACTATATGTATACTATTAATAAATGACAAAATTAGAGAAGCTAGTTTCGTAAAAATGCAGTTATTAATTATTATAATTATAAGTACTTATGGATTATCGAATACTGACCTTTAATCAAAATTCACTTTATAATTTAAATAATTAAGAGTAAATAATAGCAATCTACCCGTTGGAATCATCACAAATGATTTTTGTATTCATTTTTTAAATGAATAATACTTTAATAATTACATTTAATTGCAGTACGTATTATAAATTTCTGATGTTACGTGTTAAATGACATCCTAATTGCAACTAAATTATAAGATATATTTGTACTGAATTGAAAAAACAAAAAAATAAAGACTTAGTACAATATTTTGGTAAAAAATAAACTCTAGAATATGTAGAACATTTAATCACAACTTTGTCGTAAATGTAATAATAATTGAAGATAAATGATCATATCTCGGGGTTTATGGATATACATTCTGTGTTCCATATTTGCATATTTTCTTATTTGGTCCTTTTCAAGTATCTATTCATAATAATAGACAAAAACAATGACCGATTTATCTTCAATTATAGATATACACTAGTGCCAAAACATTAATAATCATCTACTTTTTAACTATCAGAATCATCGGAGATGTCTTTTATATTTGCTTCATTTAATAATTTTTTCAATAATTTGCATTTTGTTTTTTCTATCTTTATTATTTCAGCGTGCTTATTTTCCTTATCCTTCAGTCTTTTTTCTGATAATTCTTTTTTCTGTTCTATCTGTTTTCTTTTTAAAGTTACCATTTGTTTCTTTAGCGATAAATTTTCAGTCATTCTATTTTCAGATTGTTCATGCTTCTTATCACGTGCAGCATCTCTTATTTCTTTGTTTTCTAAAAATTTAAGCC